TGGAAAAGTGGCCGAGCTCGTGGGCGGAAAGTGCTTAAAGGAGAATCTTCCCTACAAAACATGAATTGAACTGAACACTGAGAAGCCACCTCCAAATTAATCACCACGTGCGAGAAACCAGACAATTAAACTTCAATAAATATGTGAAACCTCCTATGAACAATTTTCCTTCATTCACATACATTGTGACTGCTTTTTATGAATAAAATTTGACTGTACCTCCAAGGCTTTTGTTGTTAATCTGAATCTTCATAGTTCATAGCTTAGAATCAATGTTTCTGGCTCATCTAATAAGGGATGTCCTATGAGAACTGAATCAAGGTGCTTCACTCACGTCAGTTTGTTATTTTCTGTTGTTGATTAGTTTGTTGAAAACTTGTTTTTATAAAAGAAATTAGAAAATGTAGTCTATTTACCTCCTTGATAGCCTATTTTAAGTAAAGCCCCAATGGAACCGACCTGAGGTGTCAAAATTTGAGGTTGTTTAACACAAAGCACTCACACAATCAAGCTGCCCAATAACTACTCAAAGGGCTAGAATTTTGAAGCCTCAATCTAGCTGGTGAAGCAGATAATAATGACCAAACAAAGCCAAGCTGCAAGGTGGCCTCAACACAACCAACAGAAAGAGAATATGTAACAACAAAATGACAAAGCATTCTGGATTTATAATGAAGTCAATCAATTTAGTCTCGATCTCACAAGTGGTCCTGCCAGACTAACTGACTAAGTCTCGCAAATTATCACCCTGCTTCCATATTGAATCTGGAACAGATAAATGATAAGAAAATCTACCGGGATGTAGTAACATGATCTGCATTTAATCGGAGTATATAATAGGCAAACGAATTTATCCCAACTCTAAAGATACAAAATACAAAACCAATAAATAGAGGAAGAAGACACATACCAAATCTGATGAGGTCCTGCTTTACAGCGCTTAGATGTTGTTATTGCTCGTAAGTGGGAACGAGCAGAAGCTGAAATGGTAATTGTAGAGACAGAAGAAGGCTGCAAGAGTTGGTCGAGATAGGGCATATCATCAGTACCAAAATATTTCCAGGGTTGATCCTTCATCTTAGCTTCCATGTCTCCAACTAGCAGTGCTGCAGCACCCAACTCTAGCAAAGTATGTGTGCGCATATCCTCAAGAACGGAAGCACGATCACTGTGTTACACACATTTTGACATGCACCGAAGTTACATCAAGCACGTCAGGTAGACCATTATATTTCATAAGGGGCAGCAACTAAGCAACATAATAGCCATGTAAGATTAAGGCAGCATAAAAAGACATGTATCACCTTTCAGTGGACAATACTGAAAACCGATGATCTCCAGCCCAACGCCAGTTTAAAACATCATATGCAATGTGATCAATGTCCTCCATTACATCAGCTTTTTCCATATTTGAAAAGTGTGAAACCGGCGAACCAGTTGCATCTCTGTTGTCTGAAGATTCAGCATTATTTGCAGGGCTTAATTGGGAGTTAAAGGATTTACGCAAAAATGAAGATAATGCAGGAAGTGACTGTCTTGATGCAGATGGAGACCCAGAAAATGCTGCCGGTTGAAATGACCTCTTTGGAACATGTTGAGCCACTAGAGAACGTACATAATTTAACGACTTTACAAGCGCTCCGGAAGCAAAACTAGACACAGGCAGAGAAGGCAGATTATGTGCAGATGCAACAGATTGCTGAGGTGTCGACTGTGATAACATTGCAGATCTTCGACTTGCACTGTTATCACACTCTGAGATTGTATTCACACAAAATCGGTCAATCTGAAGTAATGTCTCCTCACTCGGTTTATATCTGCCAGGCAAGAATAATCTATCACAAGGAAAGTCACATAATTCAAAATGCTACATAAATTACCAAAAAAAAAAAAAAAAACAGGATCACAGCAATCAGCTGTTAAATGCACAAAGTGATATTCAGGACTTGATGCTTGCTTAGTTTGAATATACCGAAGCGATCTAACTAGAGCCATTCATTTACCATTTCAAGGCCAAAAGCAGTGCCCTAGCACCATTACCGAAACTTTTACCTACAGAGCCTAAAGCAACTGCCGACCTATGTCTCTTGTTGCGGGATCAATCAAGCAACCGAACTTGACAGAGGCCATGTTCAGGAGCGAACCTTATTGCACGATAGAATCATAACTCTTTTATCCAAACATCTCGCTTTATTTAACTCACTGGTTGACCCATGAATATTAGTACATTTAAAATAACTTCACCCAATAAAATACCTTATAAGGTACCGCTTCAAAAGTCCCACACACCTCGCGACTACTGCTGGGCTGGAAGAAATAAGTTCATATCAGCAGTATAAGGCACAATCCATCATATAAGCATCATCAGTAAATTTGCTTGGCAAAAGTTAGGGAAAGAGCAATACAGATCACAAGAGAGTAGATAGAGCAGTAACAGAATCCAATAAAAGGCTGCTGGAGCAGATACATGTAGATCTAAACAACTACTACCGAAAGGGGGAGGGGGGGGGGGGGGGGGGGGGGGGGGGGGGGGGGGGGTGCTCAGTGGCAATAGTTAAGAGTATAATGAAACTAACATATTACAGGCAAGCTCCATAGTTCCACACCAGACATCCACATGCAACAGACAGCATGCAGAACCAGTCCAGCAACCCCATCAGTGGCCATGGAGAAGATAAATGATTATGTTTGTAGAATTCTCAATTGCACGAGATAAGCAACAAGAATGGCAATTAAGCCACACAGTAGACCTTGAAGCATCCACTTAGTTGGAAAGGGCTAAAGGGACTTGAACAGGATAGGATTAAATAGTAGCAACTAGTCAAGTCGGCAATTCTAAAATTTAAGTACACCATCACCCATCAGGTGTTTCTATAAAAGTGGGAACCAACAGCTAGGCTACTCAAGTTAACTGCACTTTAAGCATCTTGTGCCATTTCTCTAGGGCTTATTTCAAATGTAATCGAGGCTCTTTTCCAGTCAGTGAACTAACCCAACACCACCATCGATATGTCACACCAAGCCGTACTGAGCACAAAATTTAACAGACTTTCAGAACTATTTCTATTTATTCGGCAATACCTGCGCTCTCTCTCAGCAATCGTGTGTTCCAAAACTACACAATATGCCAGATCAGTGGTTGCAGGGGAAGCCAAATAATCCTGCCATTAGTGAATTGAAGAATTAGAATCAAAATTCCCTCCATAACAGATGACAAAGCAGCACATCATATGTCAACAACGATGTTGTGTAAAAGTACCAAACAATTGGAATGAAGATTTTGCTAAGCATTTTCCAAGTGCTCTTTATTCACTCCTTTACTATCATCATTCATCAGATGACAGAAGACAGAAGACGCTCTTCCATCATCAAGGGAAAAGTAAAAGGAGCTCGACAAATCAATTCTATAATCTTGCAGTATTAACAATGTGAGCGTTTATACCAAATTAAGAAGGAAACTGTGGAATTCAAGCATTTACACACTGTAACGGCAACAGGTGTCATTGCCCCATCTTGTAGAATAATTTGATAGATGCATCATTCCATGTCAAATTTTATTCCCCATTAAATAATCCCGCCCTATCTCAGTTTGTTCCTCCATTACAGTGACACACAGACAATGAAAGAATACAAGGCAAAGTTATGGAAATGCACGATAATTTTGACTATGCTCAATTAAAAATACTCAATTTGGAAAAGACATATAATCAATCACTCCCTTCATAGGATAACAGACAGCACAGATCTCGTATTCAACACTCAAAGGTGTAGTTGGTATCCTAATCCTAATATGGGGAGAAGCTACATTCACAATTCATTCTCCTAATGGGCAGGCAAAACAGGAAAGCAACGCAACCCTCTTCACTATAAGCACGAAAATCGCCCTATAATATCCAGTCGCACTTTTGCAACAACAAATTTTAGCTCCCCAAATCGCGAGTCGTGGACAGCTCCAGTCCAGCTCCCCCCACCCAATTAAATTCAAACCCGAACATTGAGATCCAAGCCAAGAGCCAAAAACCAAACCAAAATTACTCACACGGAGAGTCCTCGAAGCATCGGTCAAGACCACGGACGGGCTACCATGGTGCAAACCGGCGACAGCGCCACCGCCCGCAGAAGCCGATGCCGAGGCGGAAGACGACAGGCAGTCAGCGACGGCTCTCCGCAGAGGCTCCGGCGGCTTCCTCAGGGAAGAGGATCTCAGCCTGGAGCTCCCGATTAGAACAAAGTGCTGCTCCCTCTGTAACCTGGACCCGACCGGACTGCTCCGCGACGGACTGAACGCCGACGAAGACATCTATCCCGAAAAAAGTCCTCCCTCCACTGCTGCGGTGCGGGGCCAAAACTTCTGGAACCTTCCGTTTTTCCTCCTTCCCTTCTCCACCGTGGGAGCTCCTACATTTGCTGAATCGCCAGCGGAAAGAGAGACTCTCTCTCTCTCTCGAGATCAGAAAATGAAAGCAGAGCGAAGATAGAAGAAGTGACCAACGCCCCCGTCGTTTTCTTCCTTACTTCCTTCTCTGTTCCTTTTCTTCTGTGTCTTCTTCTTCTACTACTCTGCCTTCGTTCTCGTTCCTGGTCTTTCTTGAATCTCTTTCGTCTCCTTTTCCTGTTCGTCCAGGGTGGTGTGAGAATGTAAGGAAAAGAAGGGGAGGAAATTTTCAGATTGGAAAATTAATTAATTAATGAAAACAGAATCGCCTCTCTTTTTTTTCTGAAATTTCGGGGCGTTGTTTAGCTTTGTTAATTGATGAGCTGGAAGTATAAGCATAGTTTTATGACAGAGGTTTCTCTCTTATTTTCCTTTTTTTTATTTTTTGGTTATTAGCTGGCAAGCGCTAATGTTTGGTTTCTCCTTTTTAATGACCACTCCACTCGCCGCTTTATTTTACTCTTTTTTCCCTTTAATTTTTATTCACTGCATTATGAAAAAATTAAGCAGTCATTAACAGCACTGTTAAATTATAGAATGGAGTCTTCGCCGTCTTGGCTTCGGCCAAGGAGACCATTATATTTAATTAACTATTAGAGGGGTTTTTTCATGAAAAATAGACATACAGGGATCCAATTGTCACCTTTCAATAGTATAAGGACTTCAATGACAGTTTTAAAGATTGGAACAGGCCAAACCCACTTTGTTCAGTTGGGCTTCAACTTAAGCCCAGTCCTTGACTTCTGAAATCAATTGAAAGAAGAAATCCCATCGCAGGAGCTGGCACTGCACACGCAGACTGCTTTTACTGTTCAACGTGACTGGGATCTACTGTTATAACCCGGAAGCTGCCTCTGTGTGGGCTGGACTTGGGTGAGGGCTCATTGGAATCGGACGGGTGTTTGGCGAGTTCGTTGGGATGGAACTGGCGTTGATTGTCTTTGTTTGTTGGACCGGTTGTGGTCCTCGAACGCGTTGGTCACCAGAGCACTCTCTGTGACTGGAGACTGCACAGTTGCGTGATTGAGAGGACCTTTGCAAGCAATCAAAGATTTTGTGGGTGGGAGACTCAGTTGAAAGTAGAAATCACATCGCAGGAGCTGGCACTGCACATGCAGACTGCTTTTACTGCTCAACGTGACTGGGATCTACTATTATAACCTGGAAGCTGCTTCTGTGTGGGCTGGACTTGGGTGAGGGCTCATTGGAATCGGACGGGTGTTTGGCGGGTTCGTTGGGATGGAACTGTCGTTGGCTGTCTTTGTCTGTTGGATCGGTTGTGGTCCTCGAACGCGTTGGTCACCAGAGCACTCTCTGTGACTGGAGACTGCACAGTTGCATGATTGAGAGGACCTTTGCAAGCAATCGACGATTTTGTGGGTGGGAGACTCAGAGATGGTGGGGCATGACCGCATGAGGGACTCAAAGGGTTTATTGAAAAGAGTTGTGCTGCTCACTGGCTCTACAAGTGGCTTAGGGCAAGGTCAGGGTCTTTGATTGAGAGGTGGGAGTCGTGCTGGTTTCAGAGGCTGAGGTAAAAGAGAGGTATGTCTGGATGATGTAGACTGGGCGTACTTTCTGAATCTGTAAAGGTAATTGAGGGGACTGATGAGAGAAGCAGAGAGGGAAAAAAGAAAATATGAGGGTTTAGAAAAAGCTTGGTCAGGGAAGCAGAAGGATGAGATGGATGGTGTTACATTATTATTTTAAAATAAATAGGGCAAAGATATTTCCTTGGTTTGCTTGGTGGGATTAAGCCCCACGTAGCCCTTTGGTGGGAGTAATACAGTATTGTCTCTCAGTCAGAGGAAGCCATCTTGAAATACCTCTTCCTCTTTCTTTGCATTTCATTTTCTACATTCATTCTCTCTCTTCTTTCTATCTCATGGGGTTTCTTTGTTCCTTTTTCCAGGTTTGTTCGTCGTCTTTGCCTCTCTCAAGAACAGAAGGATTCAAGTTCTGTATCGGAGTTTGATGCATCCTTCAACTGTGAATCTCCTATGGTGAGTCTTTATATGGATGCTTTGTATTTCGTTTGTTTTCGATGCTTCTCAGCATCAAAGATCTCTATTTATTTGTTCAGTGGAATATTTCCCTGATTTCTTCTCTTTCGCTCTTCTCCAGCTGATTTTCCTCCGAATCTTCAGAAGCTTTCTCTGCCCAACTAGCCACGATCAGAAACCATGAGCAATGTGGCTTGGAATAGTCCCAGTCCTTTTCTCTTTTCAATGTGTTGGTGATCCAAATCTGCCTCTTCTGGTGAGTTTCAGATCTCATTTTTTGTTATTCTGTTTTCAGGATATGTTAATATTGAACCCTTTCTTTTCCCCTTGACTCATAGATTTGCTGCCAGACCAGAATGATTGAGGTCCGCACGATTATCATTATCTCCCCACAAAGGTAGTGGCAGAGTCCTCATCGAAGGTTTAAATCTCTTTCTGATTACTCCAGTCCGTCTCTTTTCTTCCCCTTTCTTTGACATCTATTATCTTTGCCAGTTCGCTTTTTTCATAATCCTTTTGTTTGCCGCCTTTGACAGCAATCATGTGCTTTGGATTTCACGATAGAGGGTGGAGCAGCAGTTTCAGGAGCTTAATGTCAGGTTTGCTGGTGCATATCGATTGCCGATACTAAATGGATTTCCTTTAAATGAGTGGATGCTATCTGTGAATATTACAATAAAGTTGTGAGCAAGTCAAGTTCAGTTACATTTTAGTATTGTTTTTTGTTCATTTTTTCTACCAAGTTTTGCTTCATGTCCTCCTCTCTACTTCGTGCTGCAAATGGGTCACAACTGGAGTCAGAAATGGTCTTAGTTATTATTACAGAAACCAAAACTGAAAATACATTTATTTTTTTCACAACCTTTATTTTCTATAGGATGTTTAACCTTAGGTGATTTTGGTGTCATGGTTCAGCTGTACTGGGATTCTTTCGTGGATTACATTTTGGTTGCTTAGTTAACTGTAGGCAGTCCACTGATTCACCAACAGGAGATAGAACTGGAATCATATGCATTGTAGATTGGATCAACTCAGTTATGGTTCTGCTTAGGTTCTTTTAATGTATATACGATGCTTATGTTGACCATTCGCAACCGCAACATTCAATATTGATATTGGACCTGAACCGCTTATTTCGTTGTGCCTGCAACATTCAATATTGATATTCGTTGTAACAGTAAAGGGGAAGGGAAACTCAAGAGCAGGTTACAAATTAGTGTCCCATTCTTGTTATGATTCTCTTGCTATCTAGAACTTGATAGTTTCTTACTGTCCATTCTGCATTTTGGCTTAAAACATGATCAATATTGTATGCAGCATTCTTTTATTTGTCAGTAGGTTGTAAGGATTTGGTTTCTAATTAAGCAGTGACTATCTGCATTCTATTTCCGGTATTAGCTTAAAGAATCTAGGTTTGTTGATAGTAATTTACTGTCATTGATTTCAGGTAAAACTCAACGCAAGGAATAAAATGGAATTGCTCGCTTGTGTTTTGCAACGATGGAAGATTCTATTCTGGTCACACAGACCAAAATGTACTGTTATGACCCGGAAGCTGTCTCTGTGTGGGCTGGAGTTGGGTGAGGGCTCTTTGGATTCTGACCGGAGTTTGCAGGTAGTTTGGGATGGAACTGGTCGTTGGCTGTGTTTGTCTGTTGAATCGTTTGTTCACATCGTTTGTTCACATGTTTTCAATCAGGAAGGTCCAACTCGACCATTGGTAAACTACCCTTTGTGTATCAAGCCATAGTTGATGTCTTATTAGATGTTACCTGCATATTAAGCATTAGATTTTACCTGCATCATGATTAGTGTGCAACTAATCTCATCTATTTTATTCTCTCTTTGTACTGCTCCTACTCTCAGGATGACTCATTTGGCGTTGTGTCTTTCTCTTCCTTTAATTGTCATTTTCTGCAAACATTGGGAGCTAACTATGCCTATAATTTTTCTCCTCAGGTTGCCATCCGACTTAAAACCTAGGTATATGGCGAGAGTACTAATGAGTAAGCCTTGATCTGGCATTGACTTTGCCTCTAGGCTAAGTGAAGAGTTTTACTTCAACACATCCATCTGATCCCTCCTCTATGTCTGCACATGGAATGTTTGCTTTTGCTTATATTCTGAACTCAAGGGAGAGAGGCAATTGAATGAAAGGTGCCTGACTCGCTATGACACAACTCCTAAGAAAGGCCAAGTGTAACCAATAAAAGGGACTGCAGTATAGTGGCTCAAGTGATGAATATCGAATCCACGGGTCTCTAGAGTTACTATTACTCAGCTTCAGTTTATTATTTAGCAAATCAGATTAAGATGAAAGAACCAAAACTACTCTAGCAAACTACAATTAAAGTTAATCTAATTACAGATTGGGAACTCACTTAGGTATGATTTCCTCTAGCCACTAGCCAGATTAACGATTGATGATTTCTAACTTATTTCACTTTCATTCACAATGTAACAAAGTGGTTAAGTACCATACATGGGCCTGTATAAGATCCAGCATAACCTTCTCCCAACAATTCGAGTTATTGGGACTAACTGGTTTATGACATGTTATCAGAGCCTAGAACTTAAAGGTCATGTGTTCGAATCTTCACGACCCCTAATATTAACCGTTGTATTTCAAGCACATGGCATGGTGGGCCTGTGCAAACTTCAAGCCCATGAGTTGGCTTTCGTTTGAGGGGGCGTGTTAGAGAATGGTATATGATCCAGTATAACCTTCTCCCAACAACTCGAGTTATTGGGAGCAACTGGTTCTTGACACGGTATCAGAGCTGGTTTGTCCTTGAGGTCACATGTTCAAGTCCTCACGACCCCCAATATTAACCGTTGTCTTTCAAGCACATGGTATGACCGGCCTGTGCAAACTTCAAGCCCATGAGTCAGCTTTCGTTTGAGGGGGCGTGTAAGGAAGTGGTTAAGTATCATACATGGGCCTGTATAAGATCCAGCATAACCTTTTCCCAACAACTCGAGTTATTGGGAGCAACTGGTTCTTGACACACAATGCGGAGAATCCTTGACTAAACCTTGAGTCTTGACTAAAGGAATAAGGCCCTCTTGAGTAAATTGCCTAGAGGGACGTACCCTCTTGAGTAAATTGCCTAGAGGGACGTATCCTTCTCTAGAACAACCGATCAAGGCGTTCTGAACTAGATTCCCTCTATCGAATGAGGTTCTCAATCGATACAAAGCAGTGAACCAACCCTCGACTAAAGCAATCGATCCAATACTATCAATCTATGGTGCTCTATTCACCTAATCAGGTATTCGCTCTCATAAGATCAAAGCAGAATCAATAATCTCGACTAAAGCAAGATTGAATCATGAAAACATGCATAGATTGAATATGAACTCAAGGTTATCAAGTCAGAGTACTCATACAATCGTCCAATCAAAAAAACATAGATAGGGTTCCTCAAAACCTAAGTGAAGGGAAGTTACTCCATAGAGAAGAGAGAGACTACAGTAAGAATCTTCAGATGATCAGTCTTCAAGTCCGGGCTTGTTCCTCGAGCTTTCAAGGCAAAGAAATCCTCCAATTCCAATCTTAGAATGCCCTCAAATCACCCTCTCTCTCTTTGGTCGTCCCTTGGGTGTTTGGGATCCAAAACCTAGCTCTCCCTTGCAAAAACGCACAAAACAGGCTTTTAACAGCCTGCGTTCGCGATCCCCGGTCAGAATCCCCTGTCGGGTATTTTAGGTCACGGCCGGGGATTTTTGGTTCACGACCGAGGATTTTTGAAAACGCAACGTCTGGAGACAGGGGAAAATCCCCTGTCAAGGCCAAAAATCCCCTACCGGGGATTTTAGTGTCACGATAGGGCCCCCTTCTGTTTCTCAGAGAAGCCCGAAACCAATTTTCCCCTATCTTTGATTCTTCGTTTCTCCCTCGTTCGGACTCCAAATCAGGTGTCGTTTGATCCCAGATGCTCGTAGTCTCGTCCTCTTTCTTCTCATGACAAGATTACATGATTATATGGTTACAAACTGAGGTAGAAATCCATTCTTTTTCAAGTCATACCCGAGTTTCTTCCCCCGAGTCGCCAATTGATCTCTAATTGACTTGAAACTTGCGCCTACGCTTCACTTTATGTGCTACGACCTGAAATGTGACAAAGGAACACAACCTAGCGTAAAATAGGCCAAAGAAGCGATAATGCAAGCTTAAACGATCAAGAAACAAAAGGGAAAACATGTGCAAATATCGAGTCATCAAACAACCCCGATCGTCGGTAGAGGATTTTCTAGATCATTTAGCAGCTTACGAGGTCAACCAACGCACAAGTCATCTCATAGCTTCTTCGGCGAGAACGCTAGTCTCGAGTCGACATCATGGCAAATAGTGATCAGAGGGTAAATGAATCGTGGACGAATGGACACTCAAAAACAAAAGATCATGGACTCATATTTTTAAGGTGCTCCATTTTCTTCTTGAAGATGGTTGGAACCCCTTTTCTTTCTTTTTTACTTGTTTTTCTGTTTTTTTTTCAAGGGTTCCAACCTGTTTTTCAGAAAATGGGGGCTCCCACCTAGCAGAGGTTTTGCGGGAGCCCGGCTCTTACCGGCCTTATGCCAGGAGCGGATGTCTCAAGCCTCGTGGGGGGAAAAGGAATGTAAGGGGGCTGGAGGTAGTAGGTGAAAATTGGGAACGGATTCCCGTCTCCTCTTACACACTTTCGCCCTATTCGCACGGGAGAGAGTCCACATCACCACTCAATTCAAGGGTCCTAAGATCACTAATTCACACAATCAACCAACACAATATGAAGAAGAAACGAGACTTCTTAAATGCATCAACATCCTCCATAGTGCTACACTACCTCCCTAGGTTGCACATTACTATAGAGATTGTCAATTCAAAGCATACTAAGTAGGAAATTGCAAGGAACACGTACTTGGAGCCCTCAAATCGAAATTTGGACAGAGGACTAGGCTCCAAGCACACATACAGTCAAACATTCACACGCATACATAATCGAACATCCCCCCACAGTTAAGCACGACATTGTCCTCAATGGAGGAAAGATAAGGAGGGTAGAACGAAGTTACCATATCAAGGGTGAATGATGGTGGACGGGGCAGGCGGTGCATTCCAGGAGGAGAGAGTAGTCAGAACACAAACACCACATAAAATCTCAAAAAGGTTGAGTTATTGACTCTAAAATCAAAGAACAAAACTGACTCAACCGAAGAGAAATAGGGAAAGAAATGCAAACCGACTAGTTGGGTTGCCTCCCAACAAGCGCTTCTTTCACGTCGTGAGCCGGACGATGGCTCCTAAGTTTCGGTCCACCCCAAAACCTCCTTGAAGTTGAGGTTCTCGTCAATGAGGTGGAGTCTCAAATCACGAGCATGTGGTATGACAAGTGATGGAAGCTCGTGCACTTGATGCAGATGAAGTCTCCACCCTCGAGACCTCTTCCTCTCTTCTCTCGTCTCATTGCCCCGAACCAGATATGACAGCATCGATTTGCCACCATCGCGTCCACCAAGAGGGACCGATGTTGATGTGGCCTTGGTCTGGCAAAGAGACACTGCAAATGGGTCCTTGCTAAGCAGTTCCTTGAAGTCTGGTGGAGTTATCACATGTAACTCATGGCCGGTGCAGGCCTCTTCCACCTTAACTTCGTCCTCAGCCTGGACGCCAATTGCTTCTTCAGCCTCCCTTTCTTCTTCATGTGGTATCACCCCTGGGAAATGATCAAGAACTCCTTCTGCTTCACTTTCGTCATCCTCCACAACTTCTTTATGCACCCTTTCTTGCTCTTCTTCTTCTAGCAGGGATTGGAGAGCAAGCTGCCAAGCAATTTCTTTCATGAGATCTTCTTGCATCTCCTCACTCATGCCCGCCTCTTCAAAGCTCAGTTTGGGATGTGGGAAGGTGTGGTCGGCTATGACAGGACATTCCTGATCATGATCATCACGGGAGCTCTCCATGACAACTTTAGTGTGCTCCACAATGTCCTTGTAGCCTTCTTCTTCCTCCTCCTCTTCTAGTATGGTAGCAGAAGGGTGATCGGGAGCAGGTTGTGCACAAGATCGCTCAAGATCATCGACGCTCTTCTTAAGGCTCAGGAGGATCTCCTCTGTTTCACGATAGGCCTGGACACAATGATCCATCCTGGAGCATGTTCTCTCACTGTCTCGAGCAAACTGTTCCATGAGAAGCCTCAATTCATAGTTTGGATCTGGTTGTGGAGTGTAGCATGGCTCTGCAGAATGGCCCGTGAAGGCCGCCATGGGTAACTCCAGCGCCGATGGCCCTTCTAGTTGTGGGAGAAATTCTTCTTGGTAATGAGGTTGTTCTTGATATGCCCAGGGGTCTGGTTGTTCTCCGTAGTAAGGGGGTTGGTACTGGAACCCGAATCCATAGTCTTCTCCTCCTTGATTGCTCCAGGGAGTCTCGGGGTCATACCACTCGGGTGGTGGTGGATACCCCCAATTGTTGAAGAAGCCATGAGGATCCATGATTCATATCTGCACCAACAAAAACAAAAGCACCCAAGTGAAAAGCAAGGGTGGAAAAGAAAAGAAAAGAAAAACGCTAAAGTAACAAACTTCTGCCTTTCCTAATACTCTAGAAAGTCCCCGGCAACGGTGCCAAAAACATGACTCGCTATGACACAACTCCTAAGAAAGGCCAAGTGTAACCAATGAAAGGGACTGCAGTATAGTGGCTCAAGTGATAAATATCGAATCCACGGGTCTCTAGAGTTACTATTACTCAGCTTCAGTTTATTATTTAGCAAACCAGATTAAGATGAAAGAACTAAAACTACTCTAGCAAACTACAGTTAAAGTTAATCTAATTACAGGTTGGGAACTCACTTAGGTATGATTCCCCCTAGCCACTAGCCAGATTAACGATTGATGATTTCTAACTTGTTTCACTTTCATTCACAATGTGGAGAATCCTTGTCTAGCCCTTGAGTCTCGACTAAAGGAACAAGGCCCTCTTGAGTCAATTGCCTAGAGGGACGTATCCTTCTCTAGAACAACCGATCAAGGCGTTCTGATTTCTGAACTAGATTCCCTCTATCGAATGAGGTTCTCAATCGATACAAAGCAGTGAACCAACCCTCGACTAAAGCAATCGATCCAATACTATCAATCTATGGTGCTCTGTTGACCTAATCAGGTATTCGCTCTCATAAGATCAAAGCAGAATCAATAATCTCGACTAAAGCAGGATTGAATCATGAAAACATGCATAGATTGAATATGAACTCAAGGTTATCAAGTGAGAGTACTCATACAATCGTCCAATAAAAAAAACATAGCTAGGGTTCCTCAAAACCTAAGTGAAGGGAAGTTACTCCATAGAGAAGAGAGAGACTGCAGTAAGAATCTTCATATGATCAGTCTTCAAGTCCGGGCTTGTTCCTCGAGCTTTCAAGGCAAAGAAATCCTCCAATTCCAATCTTAGAATGCCCTCAAATCACCCTCTCTCTCTTTGGTTCGTCCCTTGGGTGTTTGGGATCCAAAACCTAGCTCTCCCTTGCAAAAACGCACAAAACAGGCTTTTAACAGCCTGCGTTCGCGATCCCCGGTCAGAATCCCCTGTCGGGTATTTTAGGTCACGGCCGGGGATTTTTGGTTCACGATCGGGGATTTTTGGTTCACGACTGGGGATTTTTGAAAACGCAACGTCTGGAGACAGGGGAAAATCCCCTGTCAAGGCCAAAAATCCCCTACCGGGGATTTTAGTGTCACGATAGGGCCCCCTTCTGTTTCTCAGAGAAGCCCGAAACCAATTTTCCCCTATCTTTGATTCTTCGTTTCTCCCTCGTTCGGACTCCAAATCAGGTGTCGTTTGATCCTAGATGCTCGTAGTCTCGTCCTCTTTCTTCTCATGACAAGATTACATGATTATATGGTTACAAACTGAGGTAGAAATCCATTCTTCTTCAAGTCATACCCGAGTTTCTTCCCCCGAGTCGCCAATTGATCTCCTATTGACTTGAAACTTGCGCCTACGCTTCACTTTATGTGCTACGACCTGAAATGTGACAAAGGAACACAACCTAGCATAAAATATGCCAAAGAAGCGATAATGCAAGCTTAAACGATCAAGAAACAAAAGGGAAAACATGTGCAAATATCGAGTCATCAATGGCCGAGTGGTTCAGTGACTTTCATTGTTGTAGTGCTCGCATTGGTTTTGTGCATTATCCTTTTTTTGTAGTATGTTTATGTTGTCGATCAGCAAGCCTATTTGGTACTCACTACAATGGTTCACATACCGAAAGAAAAATAGGTGGACACATTGATTGAATTGTATGGTTGTTTATGCCTTTTAACAACGTTGTAAAGCCCAATTAGGAAATTCGTATTCGTATTCATAACCATTGCTCATTTTTTACCCCTGTTAAATTCATATACATATTGAATCACTCATCCGTCTCAATCATGGTACCTCAATACGTCAATCATGGCAAATGGAATTGTAGAAACTTAATTGTCACACCCATCCCGGCGCAGAGCCCGAGCAACAAAAACCTAGTGTCCTATAAATCAAAAGGGAGACTGGGGCCTAGAGGTGGTTATACGGTCCGGTCCGATTAATTGATCCGGTCTAGTCCTGTCTTTTTTAAAATATAAGGACCAAAGTTTGGAATGGATACAGTCCGATCTTGATCCGGTCCGGTCCCAATTCGGTCTTGATTTTATATTGAGCTTGTGGGGATTTGAGTGGCCTAAGGCCTGAAAGGGTGAGGAGTTGGTTAAGTTTTGTACTAAGTGCAAAGGTTTGTAACCGTTTATGCAAATTACCCTTAAGTTTTGGGTGTTGATCTCTCTTATCCGGTCTTTATCCAGTTTTCGATCCGGTCCCGAACGGTTTTTTTTATCTCAAATCTAAACCCAAAGATTGAATTGGAATGTTTACTATCCGGTCTCGGTCTGAGTTATACGATCCGGTTTCGGGTAAAACCAAAAAACTCGGACCAAATGGCCAGCCCTACTGGGGCCAGACCAGCTCAGAAGAGACAGCCTATTACAGTTGGATCACAAAAGAGCTTCACTCTTATTCTCGTTCTGCCTCTGTCGAACCTTCTTTTCTATATATAAAAAATTGAGTAATGTCTATTTTTTATTCAAACATTTTTCAAAATTTTTTTTATATTATCCAAATCTATTAAAATGCTATTAATTAGACAAATCTTTTGTAATGCATCAAAATAATGAAATATTAGTCTGTTCTTCTCTGTTCCTTATAAGATCGATAGCTAGCTGCGAATCCGTTTCAAGAATCAAAAACTGACTTCCTTGATTCCAAGCCAAGATGAGTCCTTGGTGTATCCCCCATAGCTCTGCTAGAATCGCCGAGCGGGTCCCTATCTTGCAGCAGAAACCGCCAATCCAAGCTCCCTCGCTGTCCCTAAGAACCCCTCCTGCAGACGCCATACCCGAGCTGCCCTGAGACGCACCATCAATATTCATCTTCCTCAAACCCCCTGGCGGGGCTGTCCACCCGATCATCTAATCCACTCGCCTATGCCCTCCATTGGAGTCGATGTTGAGACTAGCTTTCTCCCAGGTATTTATCCAATATGTCGCTTTGGAGGTCACATAATTGGTAATGGATGACTCAGCCATCTTCTTCCCCTGAAAAATAAAATCACATCTATATTTCCAAATATACCAACAGATCAAAGAAAACATGTTGGGCCATTGATCGTGGTTCTCCTCTTTGACTTTCTCTTCTAAATTCATTTGGAACCATGCTTCCCTATCAGCATTGAAGAAACCAAAGTGAGCCTGGGCTGGGATTGCTTTCTCCCAAGTCTTCATTGCCGCCGTACAGTCCCGCAAACAGTGCAAATTTGTCTCTACAACATTGTTGCATAAAGGGCATGTGTCATTGGTAGTTAGATGCCTAAGCTTACGAATGCTGTTGGTCGAGAGCTTTCCTTTCGTTGCTAACCAAATGAAGAAGCGCACTCTTTCCGGGCAGTGAAGCTTCCAAATCTTGCTCCATTGCAACGTCCCTGCATTGTCTTGATCTGGAGAGTTCGCTGCGTAGACTGAGCTGGTGCTGAACTTGCCTGAAGACGTAAGGTTCCAGATGAGCTGATCCTCCTTGTTCGCCAAGGGGTCTAGTTTGATGGCCCAAATTTTGTTTAGGGCAAAGACAATATATTAGCCATAACTATTAAGTAGCGGGGAATTATAGCCACAACTATCGAAATACAAATTATTAGCCAATCGCTAAGTTTTCGTTAACACTTCTGTTAGTAATGATGACTAAACTTTTACGATGATGAGCTGGCTCCCACGTGACAGTCATCATATAATATTTTTTACTAATGCATACATGGCCTTCTCCGTTAAAAATTTGAAAACAGTAACGGCTGTTATCCAAATCTTGACACGCAACAATAGTTATGGCTAATAATTTGTATTTCGATAGTTGTGACTATAATTCCCCGTTACTTAATAGTTATGGCTAATACATTGTATTTACCCTTTTGTTTATGATTTTGGGAGGTAAGTATTGCTGTAACTCCTGGATTCTCCAGCCTCCCGGATCCTCCCAATAATCAGCTACCCTGTTATCCCTCTTATCCAGCGGCACCTCGCTTGTAGTTACCTCCAAAAGTGGTTCCTGCATAGCCCATACATCAGTCCAAAACTTAGTTTTCTGACCTGTAGTAACATTATAAGCTGCCCTTTGCGCAACAAGTTGACAGTGTGTGAAAAACTATTCCAAGCGAAAGAACTTCCCTTTCTTTTTTGAAGTATAGAAAGTCCTTGTCGATTTCTCCCGTATTTACTTCTCATTACTCTAGCCCAAAGGGCTTGGTCCCGAGTAGCCAGCTTCCAAGCCCCTTTAGCTAACATCGCTTGATTGGCTAATTTGGTCGGTCTTATCCCAACTCCTCCTTGTTGTCGCGGTTTTGTCATTTGCTCCCATGCTACTGGATGAAATTTAGATTTACCATCCTCCTCTCCCCACACAAAATGCCGATTGATCCTGTTAAGAGAATTACATATCGCAGCAGGTAATCGTTCTGTAAACATGGGATAAATTGCCATAGAAGAAGTGATCGATTTCACCAGGGTAATTCTGCCCGCCACAGACAGATGGTTGGTTTTCCAGGTAGCCAGTTTTTGTTGGATCCTCAAAATCAGCTCTTGGTATCTCCCTTTGGTGATTCTTCCATTGATGGTTTTAAGGCCCAGATATCGCCCTAGGTTGTTGGTTAGAGTGATTCCAGGCCCAGATATTTGTTTGTATCTCTTAGCTTTGAATCATAATGAGTAGGGTGTGTGATATAAATATGCATTGTACCACATCGATATTTGAACATGACATATCATATAGTATATAACTAGATAATTGGTCTGATAGTTGCTTCGGGATCTTGTACAATTTTATTTTTGAGATTTTTTATATGTTGTGATAATAGTTTTGTAAATGAACCTTTTATACTTATGGTCTAAATCATTTAATATAATGAACTATGCAATAATTTGATTGGATGTAATTACATATGTGATACATAGGAAAATGAAGTTTGAGTTATAGAATGAATAAACCTATTTCGTTTTGGTGATATCTTTTTAAATATTCGATTGCAATTATTATTGTACATGCAATCTACAATGCTGAATTAAAAAAAGTTGGTCGTCATGTGTTTTTTTTTTCCTTCTTCACTTCTCTGATACATTTCAAATTCGAATGTGTTGGAACAAATAAACTATTATTAAAAGCTTAGTCCATAACTATGTTACACAAATGTTAAACTATGATAGTTCTTTTTAAGTAAAACTCAAAATACATATTTACATGATATTTACTTAATGAGTTTATAGTTTTTCTAACTTTGCCTTGACGTTTTTTGAATAGAAGACTATTTATTACCTAAATTTTAGATAGCATGTGCCATTCAACAACTTTTGTCTAAAAGTGAACCTATTATTTTCTTAATCTTAATCCACAAATTCTCTTTCCTCTTTCTGATGACATAACTCCATAATAAGTTCCCTTCCCTTCTCTTGCATTATTCACCAAGACCAATGGCATCCCACTACACGTGGAGAAGATGAATAATTGATGGCAACAAATGTCACTTTATTAGCTCCATAACCTTTTCTCTTTTCCATTGTTGTTCTCACTGTTGTCATTGTTCTGCTTCCTCTGATACTTTTAATCTACAATTGCCAATTGCAACTCCATTCCCATGCAGTTCTCTTTTAATCACTTCTAAGTCTCCCTACCTTCAAAAAATTAGTAGCTTACCCTTGATCTCTTTTATTGAGATTGAATCCATAACATCGACCACCCCCACCTCCCAACTTGTACCTGATTGGCTTTCTAAATTTGGCCAGCATCAAGAGTTCTAAATGAATTAAAGAGAGAAGACCTGCTCCTGGTATTGATCGGTTGCTCTTGGTCCCTCTCCTCTTCATCTTCATGTCGAACAACTTGTGGTGGCTTCTTCCAATTACTCTTTCCTTTTAATTACTTGCCCTCTTTTTTATGATAATGCAATCTCATCTGCAGGAAAACAGAGTGCCCATAGTTCGTCAATTATCCACAATGTGAATTGAAAGGCATTGGTACCGTTTGGGGAATGGACTATGAAGCAGCTGGAGAATTCATTATTCAACGACGACAGTCAATTAATTGAACATGCAACCCACTGAACAGTTACTTACATCGATGAGATTGAGGGATCGATTGGAATCGGTGATGGTCGTGAAACTGAAACCTTGGAATTCCCCTTCTCTTCCCCTACCTCGCTGATTCTATGATATCTTCGATGATTGTTGCCAAAACTGTTGGGTGGCTGTTGCCGTTTGGGGAGGAGGTTGCGTCAAAGTAAAGAGGCATGGAACGGCAAAAAGAGTGGGGAGAATGGGATGTCGGCGCTTCGAGGTGGGGAGAACAAGACATCGACGCTTCAATGGGATCAACGGATGGGCAGAAGGAATGGGGTAAAGGGGATGAAAATCGAAATGAATTGCTTCTTAGATCTTGGTGTCTAGCTTTCTCCGCTTGCTTCTTCCACATCCGAGAGAGTATCACCTGATTCCACCGGGAAGCGAAACAACTTGCGTAGCCGCCACCAGGCAGTCTACGCGGGGAGACCAAAGTAAGAAACATTGAGAAAAAGGGTCGCAGAAGGCTTACGGTACACCCGACCACAGCCTACTGGACCCCTTAAGTATGCTTGCGGCTTTATTATACTAACTAATTATAATGTGATCTCTCCTTGATTCCATAAATTTTACAAATATTGTTAAAATAAATCGAGTTGATATTTGGATCGCACCGGCGAAATACATATTCAAACCATTAACCTCCATGAATTGGAAGGAGGAAAGTAGTCAAAGTCGATCATATGACAATCCCTCACTGGTTTTTTCTAGCTTTACTCTGTTTTTTTTTTATCATATTCACTGCACCTTCCATTCGATAGCTACCCTTTTACCTGCAACTACCATGAAGCTTCTTCAACCCTTCGTTCCTATTCTAACATCCAGACGTCTTTTGACTGCCAACTTCGTTTCGTCTATAGAACTCGTAAGCCGTCGCAACAATCCATAAAAAAACAGAGCAAGTAATAAAAACAGAGTGGCGAAAGAGGAACAGAGGATATACAGAAAAGAAGAACAAAAAAATGTGCAGCTTAGAGAAGAAAGGAAACATCTACATCCTCACTCTAACAGATCCAGGGGAGCACCGTCTCAATCCAGACCTAATCGATTCCATCCGATCCGCTCTATCAACCCTCAAATCCCACCCACCATCCTCTCCACCTTCAATTCTAATCACTACCAACCACGGCAAGTTCTTCTCCAACGGATTCGACCTCTCATGGGCCCAATCCTTCTCGCCGCGCCTCAAGCTCATGTCTTCCAAATTCCAATTGCTCGTATCCGACCTGATCTCGCTCCCCATGCCGACGATCGCCGCCGTCACGGGCCACGCGGCGGCGGCCGGGATGATCCTGGCCTTGACCCACGACTACGTGGTGATGAGGAAAGACAGAGGGTTTATGTACATGAGCGAGGTCGATATTGGGCTGGTGATACCCCAATGGTTCGTGGTCCTGTTGGAGATTAAGATTGGGCGCGGGAAGGTTCTACGGGAGGTTGTTATGGGGGCCGAGAAGCTGACGGCGGAGATGGCGGTGGAGAGAAGGATCGTGGGTTCTGTGGGGGAAGGTGCGGAAGGGACTGTTGATGCTGCGGTGGAGCTGGGAGAGCGGATTTTGAAGCGGAGGTGGGATGGTGGAGCTTTTGCGAAGAATAGGATGGTGGTTTTGAGGGATGTTTTGAAGGCAATTGAACAAGAACAGAGCATGGAGGAGAAGGCAAGTCAGACTTCATCGAGACTGTAATCTAATACCAATGCATTGAGTTACATAACTTTGGAATTTGAAGATCAAATGTGTGCTGATTTGATCGTGTTTCCACTGAGTGTGATTGTAGTAATTTGCCGTTAGATTCCTCGTTGAATGAAGTGTGATACTAGTTTTCAGGCAGGAAACTGTACAATATGCAAGAGAGAAAAGGATGACCTGCCATAACCAAGAAAATTGAGACTACCCATCTTGAAATATACATACACAAACAATACATAATAGATACAGATCGAAACGGGTAATTGTTGTTGGCCACACTTCTCTAAAAACAACAAATATGTACACTGCTCACCTGAGAAAAGAATCATTTGCCTGCTAAGCATTACAACAAGGGATTTGGGTTGCCATAACTAGTGAAAGTTGTTCCAAAGGATGAGAGCTTGCTGATGTCCAGTGGCATTTGCGCTACGACCTTGGACCCGGTTGCCAGGCCATGGTATCTGCATTGTTCCTACCATCCCATTAGTGTTCTCCTGACTCTCTTCACTATCTTGCTTCTGGATTCAGGGCTCGACAACGGGAACTCACGGCTCTCATCCAAGAGAAATCTGTAAACTTCCCACTCACGATCCTGGGTTGAGTGCCTTCCGATTTCAGCCTACAGAATTTTCCCAGTGGTATGAGGGAACAGATCCATGTTAAGCATATCAAAGAAGAAAAATATCAAACTAGACAAGCACAAGGGGCAAGGGGCAAGTAAACAAGACAAATGCTGTGAAGTACATACCGAGAATATGCATATTCCAGACTTTCTTAGAGCCGAAGTAACGTCGTAGAAAACACGCGGCCTTCCCTTCCCGGATAACTCGACTGGGTTGGCAACCAAGAGCTCGGTATCTGGACCTCGACTAACAATGATCACTCGGAGCGGATGAAGCATCGCGTGCTTTAAGCGAGTGCATAGGATATCGAGATGCTTAGGATCCACAATCTTCTTCCCGTTTGTTTGCTGAATGATCAAATCCACATTCCGAAGTCCTTTCTTGCTTGGAGCGAATCTACCATAAGCTACCTGAAATGTACGAACAAGAGCAGAAGTATCAGCATCCACGTAATTCCAAGCATTAAGCATCAAAATGAAAAATCCAATCCGGTGAAGCATTAAGTGGAAGCAAAAAGTACCCCTATATTGCATTCCTTTGAAGTCCTCAGAATGTCATAAAAGAGGCCTTTTTGATCAACACACTCTATTTGGAGCAATGTATGAGCAGGACTCAACTGATTATCAACTGTAATGGTGGCCTTCTCCTTCTTTTCACCCAGTTGTTCACCTGAATCCATTTCAAAGAGATCAGGATTAAACAGCTCTTCTGCAACGGCCTCTGGGATGGACGAGAAAGCCCGTAAGGTTTCGTACTGGGGCCCTGCCACTTGCATCTCACAGTCGATACAGTTGTCTTTAAACACATTGAGCAAATATCTGCAGGTGTCGTCTTGCCTTTCTTTGGTATGCAAAAGTTGCCTGTAAGTTAGTAATAAGTTTTATCATTTCTTCAAGTTGAGTAATTGAGGAGATTCTGAATGCAGATGCAAGATGCCAATATCACTACACAGGTCCCTGTTCAAGCTACAACAACTTCAAGACGAAAATGAAGCACGAAACCAAGAACAGGCAAGGCTAATATAGTAACCAAACTTTTGACAGAATCCTAAATATCAGAAGAAGAAGCCCTTGTGTACGTGATGCAAGTGAATGTGAAGGAAAAAATGTTGTAAAGTTTCATTTTTCGTTCACTAGCAACCCTATCTCTATCTATGCCTTATGGCAAAAAAAGTTTGAAGATTGACACACAATTGCAACCCTACAATAACAAATAATCAGAATCCAGCAGCAGAAAATTCAAGTAACACTTAAGCTAACACATGAAAAAAGGTCAATCAGCCACATGAATCCAGGCAACTCACAAGTTGTCCGTGATCAGAAACAAGTCCACAACTCGACCGTCCGGAGTCGTCATAACTTTCACTCTCTGGATCGTGAACTCAAGCTCGGTAAGAACTTTGGTAACATCTACGCACCAGAAACAAAAGCAGAGTTAAGCATGAAGAAAAACACTGCAGAGAACAAAAAAAAAAAAACAAAAGTGATCAAACTTTGTTCTACCGGAGTACATACCATGGAGCAATCCTTTTCTGTCAACACAGAAGATCTTCAAGAGATACAATGATGAAGATGAGGGACCATCTGACTTGTTTCCAAAATAGTATGGACCCAAGCAGGAAGGAGTTTCATAGTAGACCCGATTCTTCAAGCTTTCCCAATCAACTCGATGCGAGCTCGAGTATGGAGCCACCCAGAACACCATATAACACCATCTCCCATCCGTGGAGAAATCTTCAAAATTCATCAGAAACCCAAATCCACCATTCACGAAAAGGAACGAAAGCAGAATTGAAAAAAAGGCAATTTAAATTGAAACAAAAAAAAAAGGAAGAGAGTACCTGCTCGATTAATTCGAAGGCCGAACTCCAGAATCACGCGGCAGATATCGCAGCCGAGACCGGCCTTGTCGGGGCAATTGACGGTGACGACGGTGTGGTCGCCGGGCGTCTTCGCCGGCTGGATCAGGACGACGTCCTCGCTCGTAATGCCCATGCCGGTGACAGAATTGGAAGACAAATCTAACCGCTGAACCCTCTCTTTTGGATCTTCGATTTGAGCGGGAGAAGAGAATGCCGGATACCGGAGAGGGCTAGCGGTGGCGGGTACGGCAGGGCGATACGAGGCTGAGGCTGAGGCCGGGAGAAGGTTTACGCCATGGATTTGGAGAGGAGATGGTGGTGGAGAGGGAGATGGACACGCAGAAAAAGGGATTTTGAGGCTGTCGTCTGCTCTGTCGGTTTTGAGATGGTTGCGGGCCCCACAAAGGGATGGATTCCTAGTCAGCAACAGAGCATAACCGGGGACACGTAGGCTGGCACTGGCCGCACGATCTACAACCGGTGGCCGGAGGTGGATTCGGGCACCCGCCGGCGGGGAGCAAAAGATCGTCAATTATTCGTTAAAAACAAAAAATAAGTACCAAGTTGAAACTTTTGACGGGATCGGCCGGCTGCTTTTTGTTGTTTACACCAAATTGGCATCCTAAATATAGTAAAAAAAAACAAAAACTTTTGGACTCAGTTGGCAATAATTGTGGGAAAAACCATTAAAAGGGATAAAGTAATTTTGGAGCTATGTTATCACTAATCATGATTAACTATGACTACTGCTGATTAAAAAAATAATTGTGTCAAACGTCGTTAGTAACAAATTTGTTTTTATTGATCACCATAGAGTATATATTACATACTTACATAGGGATATGGGTGATTTCAACTTCAAGTGCTTTGTTTTTATGGGTAACAAGTAATATGACAACAACTATTAAAATCGAGGAAACATTAGAAACGTTGATGTCTCTATCTAAGTTAAATAATTTTATTATAGGTCACTCTTAATATCTTATTTAATCGGATGATTTGACAGTTTGAAAATTATAAATGTTGTTAATTATTATTATTTTTATTTTCTGTGATTTGGACAATACTACTATATTCATGCCCAGACACAAACCTTTAACTTTTAAGTTTATCAACATTGCACTTAATCCCATAAATGAGTGCAATAGGTTAATTGAAAGGAAGGGTGGAAGGTTAATATCACGAGAGATAATGAGGGTTGTGAATAGAGAAGACCCTTTACATATAACACCGGAAAAAAAAAATATTATCTTACGATGAGGATAACCTATCTTATGAGAAATTAACAATGTTGGTACCCTAGACACAGCATAAGGATGTTGATGTTTATGAATTGGTCGGATCTATGATTTAGTTAGACATATATCTTTTATAGGACAAAGACAATCACTCGTATAGTGTCGTTGAAGGGGATTATAGGCTCCATATATTATGCAATTTTTTTTGGATTGTAAGGTGATAGCAAGGGCGGACCAAGGGGGTCTTAGGGGTGTCCCCGGACACCTCTAAATTTCGGGAAAATGATTATCCAACTCCCGGTGGTTATTTACGTATACACAAAAAAAAAATGATAGTGAGGGACACCCCTGAAATTTGAAAAAATGATTATCCTACTATCATTTGTGTATAAAAATATAAATGGTAGGTTGGGTAATTCAAATCTAGAACACTATTATTATTCATAAACTTAATTTCCGTTGAGCTACAACTCATTTGTTGTTCGATTTTGAACAATGTGTAATAGTAAAAAGTCATTCCCTATCTCTAATTATTTCAATCTATCCTTAATTTATATTGATTTTATGATTGTACGACAAGTGTTGAAGAGTCTTTAAGCTTCGAGTTACATCAAGAACAAGTTTACAAATCGAATATGTGATAAGTTCCGGAATGATTGTCTGGTAGGGTATATGGAGAATTTTTTTCAACACTATAAACACCAAGTGTATTCTACAATTATTTTCGAATATGAAAACACATCATGGACTTTTTTAACCTGTACGAGTAAGGTATTTTCATATTTACGATATTATTTTTATTTAATTTATTTTTTAAAAGAGGACACCCCTATAAAAAATTTCTGGATTCCCCACTGGGTGATAGAGAACGAAGAGTGCGAAGGAAAATCTCACCAGCCCACCACTATGGAGTGATTTAAGTGGTCTTTAAATAAGCATTCAAGTCAGTGCAAAAAAGATGAAGAAGAAGAATGAAGAGTGGAAAGTCCAACCCACCACTATAAAGTGACAAGTCTAATATTAAAGAAGCTTTAGGTAGACTATTGTTTGGTTGAACATGTCGAATGGTAACCAAAAAAAAAAAAAACCTTTTGACTCAAACACTTATTTTACACTAAGGCCGTTTGAACAAACACCAATATATCAATAATCATCGGTTATCCTGTGTAGACACATGCTAGTTTTCCCCCCTACTCCTCCATGGTTACTATTATGGTAAATCTCATAAACTTTCTCCTCCGTTATGAGTTTATTATGAAAAATTATCCACCCACGATTCTTCAAAATGTTATGATTCCCCTTAAAGCTACGAAGTTGTAAATAGGAATGCGTGATAGATATACGATTGTGAATATTAGCACAATTAGGAATTGCCTTGTGAATTTGGTGTTGTACAATGATTGTTAAATGTTTGGATTGTTTGACTGCCATTGAAATTGCCTATCAGGGGTTGCATTATAAAAGTTAACTATTAGTAGTAGCCTAATAGGAAATTGTGGTCCAACCGTGTCATACTGCTAAAAATTGTCAATCAATTTTAATTATGATTAGATATTTTTGTGGTTGAAGTATTGGTACTGATAGGATACTATTTCAGAACACTGGGATGTGTCACGGAGGAAATTCTAGAAGACTCTAGAGGATGTAGGTACATGCATGCATCTTCAAATTCATGCACCAATGTACATGCATCCACTTTATATCTTATGATTCATGTATGGGTGAACATACATTCACCTTATAAATTATCGTTCATGTATGGGGCTAGTTCATATATAGGGGGACTTCTGGGTTCGTTCATTAATGACGCCTACATACATTGTACTTAGTGGAGAGGATGTCTATATAAGCAACCCTCTGAAATAAGAGAACTTTCCATTTCTAGAGCTTTTCTTCCAACTTGTGAGTTTGAGTGAATCCGAGCAAGGCTGACTTAGCACTCTAACGAGACTTGAGTGCTAAGTGGCGCACGGCCAAGAGTTGGTCCGTGGCAGATGCCATCGGTAGACGTGTGGCCTGTGGCTGAACTGTACATTGGCAATCGCGGACCAGATTGCTGTTCAGTTGGGCTTCAGATGAACTCTTACCCTTTTTCCCATTGGTTTTTTATGGGCCCATATGCTAGCAGCCCACTTGTTCCTGATCCACGACACAAGGCTGTAGTATTAACTATTAACCCAAACCAAACCAAACCAGAACTCTAGGAAGAACGATTGAGGTGAGGAAAATCAATTTCGTCCCCAGCTTCTGGTTTCCGGGTATTCTTCTCAGCTCTTCCTCATCACCATTCATCCCGTCCGCAGCCTCGGAGCAGCCATTTCCCGCCAGTGCATCCTTACAACATTAGCAGAGAACTCAAAACTGACCTGCCTATGCCATAGCGAGAGTTTCGTAAAAAATCTGACAGGGCGAAATGGCAGCCAGATTGAACCACTCAATTCAGAACACTCTCTCCCTCTTAAACCCTCTATGTTCAGTCACTACGAAAGCTACCCACTCAAGGAATCGCCTGCCTTTCCGACGGAGCTTCGTGCTTTCTTCTGCCTACTCGAAATCAAGAAGAGCCCTTTTCTGCTCCTGCGCAACGAGCGGCGGCACCGCGGGTTTCCAAAGTGATGGAGGAGAAGCCGCAGCAAGGGAGACATTTGTGCTCACAACCCCTCTTTACTACGTCAATGCCGCTCCCCACATGGGTAGCGCTTACACAACCATCGCTGCTGATGCTATCGCCCGGTTTCAGGTCTGAATTTTGATGCGGGGGCGCCTCTTGTTTGCTATAGTTTGTGGGTTTGTCCAGGTTTCTGGATTTCATTGAGAAATAAAAATGGCAGTAGACTGTTTGCATCAGAATTAGCTTGGTTGCTTAAGAAGAACTAAATTGGGTTTCGTCAATCAATTGCAGAGGCTTTTAGGAAAGAAGGTTATATTGGTCACTGGCACGGATGAGCATGGAGAAAAAATTGCTACTGCCGCTGCTGCCTGTGGTGCTAGCCCAAATGAGCATTGCGACATTGTATCTCAACAATACAAGAGCCTGTGGAAAGATGTATGTTTGTTATCCCTCCACTTGTTGCGTCATTATTTGTAAAGATGTATGTTTGTTATCCCTCCACTTGTTGCGTCATTATTTGTTTACTGTCAAATGTATTGATGGCTATATAGAGTGTTCATCTTGTTTGAGTGCAGTTAGACATCTCATACGGCAAGTTCATTCGAACTACTGATCCCAAGCATGAAGCCATTGTGAAAGAGTTCTATGCGAGGGTACTTGCCAATGGTGACATTTACCACGCTGACTACGAGGGATTGTACTGTGTCAACTGTGAGGAGTATAAGGTTGTAGCTTCCTGTTTCCACCATTGTTATCTGTCACATAAATCTCTGTTTGAATGAGTCGAGAGTATCTCATCATCGTTCTTTCTTTACTATATACATCTGTATTAAGGTGTTGGTTTGTGCCATTATGTTGCTCGTCTGTATTTCTACAGGATGAGAAGGAGTTGCTTGAGAACAAGTGCTGCCCAGTCCACTTAAAACCATGTATACAGCGCAAAGAGGAAAATTACTTCTTTGCTTTGTCTAAGTACCAAAAAAAATTGGAAGAAACTTTGTCATCAAATCCGAATTTTGTTCAGCCTTCATATCGTTTGAATGAGGTAAGAGAATCAATGCTGCATTATCATGATATAGTTTCTATCCAAATGGCCAAAATGATGATTAGTGGACGTATGGGTTCTGCTCTTGGTAAGCTATGAAATATGAAGTTTTCTACATCTGTTCATAGGATTATCTTTCAGACAAGCTTGTGTTTGTCTCTGCCCTTTGTGCTAAAGCCTTAGATTGTCATGTTAACTATTTTAGGTGCAAAGTTGGATTAAAAGTGGCTTGAAAGACTTCTCGATTTCTCGAGCATCTGTAGAGTGGGGCATTCCAGTTCCTAATGACAAACGCCAAACTATATATGTTTGGTTTGATGCTTTACTTGGGTATGGCCGTATGGTGCTTTCCTTTAGATGTCTTGATCATCTGCCAACTTACTTATTTTAATACATTTGGTTACAGACACTGAGAATGCCAACTGAGCCTTTTCTTTTTCACTGGCAGTTATATATCAGCTCTTGCAGAGGAGAATGGACAAACTAGTTTACAGGAGGCTGTTTCCTCTGGTTGGCCTGCAGCACTGCACTTGATTGGCAAGGTACAACCGGTTTTATCTGTATCTGCATAAGACTTAATTAGCTTATTCTCCCTTTATAACCCTTTAATGCTTGTTATGCATACTATGACCATATTTCACTGTTTCTTCTTGCAGGATATTTTGCGTTTTCATGCAGTTTACTGGCCAGCTATGCTTATGTCTGCCGGACTTGACCTTCCCAAGATGGTATTTGGGCATGGGTTCTTAACTAAGGTATGTTTATTGTGAATGGAAATGTCATTGATAAACTGAAGGTTAGGACTAGGAGTGCTAGAAACCAAGATCTCATTTTTGCGAACCTTGATGATAGTAATGGCCCTTAATATTTGTAGATTTATAGGGGGCTCGTTGCTTTTTCTGCATGTATCATGTCCAAGACTCTAAATTGTGTTCTCTTGCATAAACCGGTAGTCTTTAGCTAAAAGAAAACTAGAAGAAAAACTTCATCCTTCAGAAATCAGCAAACTCAATATTTTATCTTTGGCACAAAGGATACCTAAATGGATACAAATCAACTTATGAAAGCTGCGTTTGCAATCATATTCCGTGAATGATGCCTAAGCTTGTCTTTCCTTTTTCTCTTACTGCTAATTTTATTTCATGCAGCAACTACTTTTTATTTTGAAACTTATTATAGGATGGCATGAAGATGGGGAAGTCATTGGGAAATACACTTGAACCAAATGATTTGGTCCAAAAATTTGGGTCTGATGCAGTTAGGTACTTCTTCCTTAGGGAAGTGGAATTCGGTAACGATGGTGATTATTCAGAAGACCGTTTCATTAACATTGTCAACGCACATCTTGCCAATACCCTAGGTAATTTGAATTGTAAATATTGTCACAGAATTTGTACTACACGTTGAGGTGGGTTCTCAAAAAAAAAAAAAAAAACTGATCATATTGGGAACTAACATGGAACTGACATGGAAAAATTATGGTGTGCAGGAAATCTCCTTAATCGCACTCTTGGACTTCTCAGAAAGAACTGTGAATCGACTTTGGTGGTGGATTCAGCCATTGCGGCTGAAGGAAGTGCATTCAAGGACACTGTTGAAAAACTGGTAAAGCTCCCAGAAAGGATTATCTTTACGTCTTTAAATCCACTGTTGTCGTAAAGGATTATCTTTAATTCACTCTGTTTTTAATAGGTTGAGAAAGCCCGCATCCAGTATGAAAGTCTCTCTCTCTCGGCTGCATGTGAGGCTGTACTCGAGATTGGGAATGCTGGCAACGCATACATGGATGAACAAGCGCCATGGTCTCTATTTAAGCAGGGTGGAGCTGCTTCAGAAGCTGCCGCCAGGGTATCACTCAATTGATTCTCTTGCACATTAAAAATCTGAAGTCAATGAAGCCGGAAAAGGTCCGGGGAATAGCTGAGAGCCATATTTTGGCCTCAAATTTCCCCGCCTTCCGACTTATAGGAATTAATCTTGAACTAAACACCTTTAGATGGGTAAGAATGGGCAGCTTGATCATTGAGTGGTCGTGTGCAACAGGATCTTGTGACTATTCTGGAAGGAATGAGGATCATAGCCATTGCTTTATCCCCTGTATCACCAGGCTTGTGCTGGAGAATATATGAACAACTCGGTTTTTCGGAGGATCAGTTTGCAACCATCACCTGGGTATTGCCTATCTCTCTGTTTCTATGCCAATCATTGTAACTCAATTATATGATGTGGTTTACTGTCTCAAGTGCAATGTTTCTTCATTTGCCCATACCCAATGCAGGATGAGACCAAATGGGGTGGGTTGAAAGGTGGTCAGGTGATGGCTCAACCTAATCCTGTCTTTGCAAGGATTGAGAACCCAGCAGAAGTGGCAACCGGTACCGAAGCAGCAGCAGCTAAGCCGGCAGTGAAAACCAAGAAGAAGAAGAAACCTCAGCCGCAAGTAGCTGCTGAGGCTTAGGCTCAAATCGAGCCGCTTCTTAATAGCTCACTAGGTCTCATAGCCCGCGCTCCGCGGCGGGACTTGTTTTCATTTGTGAAATATATGGTGATTAAATAACTGACTGGAGTTTCAAAAGACACAACAACATAGTTAATTTTTGTGCGTTCTTCAAAATCATGTCAGGAGATCCCCCTTCATAGCTCAGTCTATAAACACTTCCACTGTATTGGTGTAGGCCTTCCCTTGGAATTTACTTAGAATGCGAGAGACATTTAGACATATTAGTATCAAAGAGAGCAGAGTTGGTGAGATTGAACAAGTAACCTCTGTTCTATATGAGATTAGCATAAACCTCCTGAAACAAAAGATTCAAAGAGAAATTGGTGTTAACTCCACATCACTGAGGATCTGACATGTATAGTAGAAGTAAAAGAGAACGGATCAATGACCAACACCAAGAGATAATAAGCCAACCACCTATTCTTGTGTCTATAATACCAATTGGAAAAGAGCAGACAACAAACAACAAAGTTAAAACCGGGACCGTCAAAATCAATCATAGCAGAGATTCAAGAAAGCAGGGCGAACCCATTCAAGCTAAGATTTGCCTCCTAACCACCTTGTTGCTCAGATATAGGGGGCGGAGCTAGGATTTCGAGACCGGGTGGGCCGAAAATAATTAAATATAAATAAAACTAAAATAATTATTTTAAAAGTACAAAACATTCATTGAGATAATTGTTCAAAATAGCATCTAAACTAAAATTTTTAGCTATCTTTCATTCAATATAAATAACTAAATCATTAACAAGAAACTCATCATTTGAATTCCTTTAACAATCATATCTGTTAATCCCTGGATCATATAGTTTCTATAAAGGAGAATGATAAGAATTTTAATTAGAAAAATCACCAAGTGAAAATTAAATAGAGGTTGATATGAAGTTGGATTAAAGTAATAAAAGAACAAAAAAAGGAGTGGCTAAAGCAAAATGTAAGGTAGTTGTGGATTGAAGCAATAAAAATCAAACTTATCTACCAATAGACTACATCAATATTAGATGACACATAATACACCCGCATTGTACTTATTCAAATTTTATCTAAATATTCTTAGGATCCTAGGGGCCGAGACTAATCCCGGGTGGGCCGGGCCCACCCTATACTCTATGTAGCTCCGCCCCTGCTCAGATATAATTCATGCGACATTGACGATGAATTGAAACCTACAACCAACCAAATAACCACTGAAAATAGAGAGCGAATCCCACGGGAAAGAGATTGACAACATGAGGAAGATTAGGAAACTAACAACTGAAAGGTTTAGTTCATAAGCAACAACTCGGCTCCTTGATTAATTTGCATCCTCAACGACGCTGGAAAATCCTCAATTGCTCCCACGAAAAGAAGAAAACTGGATCCATAAGATGAATGTGAGGAAGAGAATCGCCAAGCAGATAACTGAGAAAACAAACTCGGGAAAAGCAACGATTACTCAAATAAGCTCAAGTCCGTGGATTTGGCTCTTCTGTAACACTCTATGTACCTTTCAAATCAATTGAGCAACCCAGAGCTCTACTCTTTTCTGAGTGGACGATAGAAAAAAACAGGACAAATCTCTGAACCTTCACATCCGATCTGGAGAGAGAGAAAGAAAGATGCATGGAGAGAATAAACACCCACCAGAAATCAGAACGAAATTTGTAGATTAGGATCTTCAATTGAATCCGCGTGGAGACTGGGAAAAGAGAATTTCCTTTGCAGTTTGCAGCAACGGTTCTCTTTCATGGCCTAGGTCGTGATGTAACGAACGGGTAAAGTACCGATGGTGTCACTTAAGTTTATTGATGGGCGAAGCGTGTCACTTAAGTTGAATAAGGTACTGTCACTGTGTATCAGTATTACCGAACTCATCCTTTTGTACACCTGTACCACTTAGGCCTCGTTTGCTTCATGGAATTGATCATGAATTTGGTACTTAAAAACCAAGCATCATGGACTTTGTACACAATCCGTCGTTTGCTTGATGGAGTTGATCATGGATTTGGAACCTTCAAGTTAAATACTGATGCAGGGGTAACGAGCAGGGGAGAAGTGGGATTAGGATGCATTCTGAGAGATTGGAATGGTGCTGCTATTTTTGCTGCAAACAGAAGAGCAAAGGTAAAATGGCCACCATATATAGCAGAGGGGATGGCCATCTTGTTTGGATTGCAGATGGTGGCAGAGTTGAATGTTGGCTCTATCGTTGTGGAGTCAGATTGCAAGAAGGTGATACAGATGTTGAAAGGAGAAAATAGTAACAGATCGGAGTTGGGGATTGTTTGCAGTAACATCAAAATTTTGGCTTCAGAACTTGATATCAGGGAGTGGAGATTTACTTATAGGAAGCAAACAATGTTGCACACCTGATTGCCCATGTTACTGTGATTAATGAGGATGAATTGATCTGGAAGAATAGCTTACCACTTATGGTAGCTGATGTTGTATTTCAATGAAATCCATCACTGAATTCTCAAAAAAAAAAAAAAAAAGGTGGGATTAATCATTGCACGAAAGCACTACATGATTAATCGCAAAGCATACTTTGTAATATTGAAAACCTTAATGAATTGTTTAATTGTGTGTATAATATGATGTTATTGATTAATGATGTTCATTTATTCCGATTGTGGTAGTGGGATGAACCTATTGGATGAAACTTGTTTTAAAGAAAAATTATAATGTAAAATATAAATAATACTCAATAAGGGTACTAAGGTAAATTCCTAATACAAGCACAAATATAATAATGTCAAATCCATCATGAAATCCAACAAGCAAACGATAGTTTGTAGCAAAAACCAAATGGGACAATTCCATCATATATTCATGGTTTTGTAAAACCCAGGTTTTAATTAAAACCTTCATTTTTCAAATCCATGAAGCAAACGAGCCCTTAATTCAATGTTAAGTGCACTCCGTTAATGTTTGTAGAATATTTTATTTTTCAAATTTTAGAGAGTTATCGTCATTTTATCTTCTTACTAATACTTTCTGAAACTTCACAAAATAATCCTCTTGAAATATATTTAATTCAACCATATGCCAACTATTTTGTGCTCTCTTGCTCCTAACTTAAAACTACTCAAAGATTTTTTATGAAGTTAAAAGAAATTCTTCTCAAATTCAAATGTGATTTGAGAACTAGCAACTAATCCACTCTGCCTTGAGTTAATTATTTCAAATTATTGGAAAATTGTCTACTTATTAAAGAATAATCAATCCTTTCTATTGATTGAAATCCCATCACTTTCAATTTCATGTTTTAGATGAAAATAATATGGATATAAACAATCTTTACTCGTGTAATATTAGAGTAAAACAATTATATGAGTTTTGTACCATATACCGATTGATTGACAAGGTCCACTAAAAATTATGTTCTATCATCTCTTAGGATTTTGCTACGGTGACATGCATGTCACCGTGACATGGACTTTTCGGTCGACCTATTGCTGAAGGCGGTCGACCGAATCGACTAATTCATGTTTGTGGGATTCCAAGACGCGGTCGACCTCTTACATAATACGGTCGACCGCTTTGGTGGTCTAACAGAATGAAAGGTCGACCCAAATATCTCATAGGCCGACCCTTGTGCACCTAACAGGTCGACCGCATTAGGAAGAGGTCGACCGCCTTCACACTGTATCCGTATTGGATATGGATTCCAACACCAGAAAGGTTCCACAATTGGACAAGGAAACCAATTGGGTCGACCCATTGACGTCCCAAATCTCTATAAATACGAATATTAGTCCCCTTCAACGCCTCCAAGTCTGAATTAGGTTTTTTTCCGATTAAGAGCCTTTGTGAAGAAGATCGTTCGCGGTTGCTGTTGTACGCGTTGGAAGTGGTCGACCAGGTCTAAGGTGAGGTCGACCTAATGTACCATTCGTCGTCTTCTTTTCTAATGCGTGATTTCTACCGGCTAATTTGATATATTGTTGGGTGCAGGTTCCATTCGGTCGACCGTGACGTCAATCAGGTCGACCTGACGAGACAATTCTGCGTATTTGAATTTAGGCCACAACACTTGGATTTCTGTACTTGCGAGGTAACCCAATTGGTCGACCTAATGGGTTTCAAGGTCGACCGTTCCTGTTTTTTTGGTTATTCAACCTGAATGTCGACTTTGGCTTTGATTGTATGACTATGTTGTGCTTGAAAAGGTCGACCGCGCCAAATATCTGGTCGACCTATCCTTTTTTCGGTTTAATTTAGAACTTACTTTTTGTTGTTAATTGTTATTTTCCTGCTGGATAGGTCGACCTAGGAATAACAGAGGTCGACCTTAATGGTTGTGGTAGTCACTATTTGTCTTCCACGTCGACCTAATACTATGTCAGGTCGACCACGTATTTGTTTTTTGGTCAATTGTAGAAATTTGAAGTTGAATTATGATTTAAATTTTTCTTGAAATTGTTTAGACAATGACGCATGATGAGAAACTGCATCAAGATTTGGGTGAAATCATGAAATTGTTGAAAGCCACACAAGAGAAGCTGGTGGTGTGTCAAACACAAGTCAATGACTTTCAGAAGTCCATGTGTGATAGAGTGGAGCAATTGTCAGTTCGACTGACAGATATGACTGGGATGATGCATGACGGGTTTGAGAGGCTAGAAGGTGCTATCAAAGATATAAGTGCAGAACGAATGGAGAATGGCGGAAGAAATGGTAAAGGACCTAATTTTGACTTTGGTAAAGAGGAAGAATACCATGATGACTCTGAAAATTGCTACCAGAGCATAGACGATTTATTGAAAGAGCACATTTTAAAGGTATCCAAGTATATTCATAGGTGATTGAAGATATTAGTATTACTATCATTAGTGCTAATTTGTTTTGTTTATATGTTTGACAGAGTGAAACAACGAATGGCAGCAAGGGTTCCTCTCCTAAGTACAAGAGACCTCGATATGAAAGTGACTCCTACACCACTCCACAGAAGGATCAATTTGTAAGAAAAGGATTATTTAGTGATGATAGCGATGAAGAAGAATCTAAGAGTCCTTTCGAAAAGCACGGGGTAAGTTTACGTTACATATTCATCTATAATGTGTGTTTGTGTTCATATGTTACTTTAATTTTAACTATGATTTGTAGGTCATGAAAGTGGAGGGTCTAGAAGGATTCACCAAAAATCTTCAAAATCCAGTTGAAGACTTGTATTATGTTGTTACTAAAGAGAAGGCTGGGGACAAGAATTGGGACAAGTAAGACGTTTTTTAGTACGTGTGGTCGACCGGATCGGTTATGAGGTCGACCGCTTTTCCAATAAGGTCGACCGTTACTGTGAACAGATCGACCTGTACGTTGCAAATCACAATTGGCATT